TTCCTTCCTTCCTTCCTTCCTTCCTTCCTTCCTTCCTTCCTTCCTTCTTTCCTTCCTTTCAACTTTTAAAAAATTACGTTTCGTTTATTTACTTACTTATTAGGTGTGAGTGTGCTTGCCTGCGTGTGTCTGTGTGTATATGTGTGAAGGCTCCCATGTGGAGGTCAGAGAACAACTTTAATTCTTTCCTTCCACCCTGTGGAGTCCCGGGTGATCTGGCTTGGTGACATGAACCTTTATCCACTGGACCATCTCTCCTGGCCTGTTCTCTTAAGCTCCGTTGAGAAAACAGAAGTGTCCCGGGGCTCTTGCCTTATGCTCTCTCTGTGTGTGCCTTAGATGGTAATGGCTGTGTGGTCAACTCTCTATTCAGACTCACATTTCTAAACCCCTGCTGCTGCCTGCTTGACCCCTTCCTCAGGCTCCGGTCTTTGTCTTCTCTGTCTTCTCGCTTCCCGCTTCTCCCTCTACCAGACGCAGACCTGACGGAGCCCTGGATATATGAGTGCACATCCGTGACTAGGAACATACCTTCACTTGGGACCATCTCATCCCTAAAGAATGCTCTGCTAGGCCTGGAGAGATGGCTCAGTGGCTTAGATCACGTGTTGCTTTTGCAGAGGACCTAAGTTCTTCTCCCAGCACCAAAGCGGTGGCTCACAATCATTTGTAACTCCAGTTCTAGGTGATCCAACACCTTCTCCAGACCTCTGAGGGCACTAGGTGTGCCCATGGTGCACATACATGCAAGTAAAACATTCGTGCACATAAAATTTAAAAAATAAAAAAAAATCTATCTTCCTCTGCTCCTGCGCTCTCTCTTGTACAACATTCCAAAGTCTACCCCCTCTGACAAGAATTGCTCTGTTCCTGGGAGGGGCTGGGACCATGTGTTGAGCCCCTCCAGCTCTCCCACCTTGCTCTGACTTGATCTGAGCATGTTTGGGGACAAGGCTGTGTCCCTTAATCTGGCATCTTAGAAAAAAAAAAGGCTTGTTTGTATATTGTTTGTATAATAACTGGAAGCCAGGATTCTGTCCAGGAGTCAGGGCTGCCAGCCCTGGGAACCAATCTGTCTGTCTGTCTGTCTGTCTGTCTGTCTGTCTCTCTCTCTCTCTCTCCCTCTCCCCCCCCCCCCTTCTCTCTTATATTGTAGGATGGAGAGATGGCTCAGTGGTTAGGAGCACTTGCTGCTCTAACAGAGGACCTAGGTTTGGTTCCCAGTTTCGACATGACAGTTCACTACAGTCTGTCACTCTAGTTCCAGACCAGTCTGGACTATGTAAGGAGACCCTGTCTCACAAAAAAAGAAAGTCTAGTTGTCTCTACCCTGCTGTAGCTCAGTGCTTTCTGAGGCTTGGGAGAGTTCTCCAGAGTTCCTATATGGACAGACTTAGCCAGGAGAGTCACAGAGCTTGCTGACCAAGAGGCTGATGGGTGGGTGTAACACCAGATTCTGTGTTACCCCCTCAGTACAATTCGCCACCAGTGTACCGTATGCGAGTCGGGCAAGGGCCTGGAGATTGAAAGAACACACAAGAGACCTGGGTCATTCGAAAGGAGATCAGCCGAATGCCTTTTATTCAACTTTGGGGAAATCCTTAAATTACCATACCAAAGATGAAACAATGCCCTACAGCTAATCACCAGGCAAGGCAGAGGGAGCACAGGAACAAACAGAATGTTTTAGCTGGCTGACCAGAAACTGTCCTCAAGATGCACCCCAGGAGCAGGGGCAGACCCGGGCCCTACAGGTGGGCAATGGGGCAATGGATCAGTGGGTAAAGCGCTTGGCATACAAGCATGTGTAGCTGAGTTTGGGTCCCCAGTACCTAGGGGAAAAACCAGGTGTCACAGCTCATGCTTGTTACCCTGTTCTGGGGACATGGTGGTGGAGGTGGTGACTCTCTCTCTCTCTCTCTCTCTCTCTCTCTCTCTCTCTCTCTATTGTGTGTGTAGATATGTGGATTCCTGGAGTTGGCAACTAGTCTAACCAAACAAAGAAAGCAATCCAGAAATAGCTCAACAAAATCATACTGTCTGTATTTTTTTATTCTGTGATTATGTTAATATCCATGTGAATGGTGCCAGTTTACACACTTGAGTGCAACAGTCCACAGAGGCCAAAAGATGGCATCAGATCCCCTGGAGCTGGAGTTGCAGGCAGCTGTAAAATGACTGATGTGGGCGCTGGGAGCTGAGCCTGGGTCCTCCAGAACAGAAGTAGATGCTCTTAACTTCTGAACCATCTTTCCTGGCAAATGTCTATTTTTGAAATTCCAACAAAACATGGATCATTGTTTGTATCCAAATATCCTCTTAGACTGTAAATACTCCTTCAGGGCAAATTTGTTTACTTTTTGTTTCATTTGAGAAACACTCTCAGGACCTAGTTGGCCTTGATTTCACAATTTTCACGCCTCAGCTTCCCAAGGGCTAAGCCACGGATGTGAGGGCAATTGGCTGTGCCATCTGTCATCCCATTGACCGCCAGGGTTGACTCAGCTGACCTAGCAGGCTAGGCAGGGATTCCCATCCTCCGTGTATGTCCCTTCCTCACACAGATGGGGGCCAATCTTTGACCAAGGATATGAGCAACTGCACTTGCCCTCTAGAACCTCCAGACAAGCTTCCAAGTGCTGAGCCACCATGCCCAGCTGTTTGCACACCACACACACACACACACACACACACACACAATTTGTTGTTATCTGTTTTTCCAAGATGAGGTTTCTCTATGTAGCTCTGGCTGTCTTGGAACTCACTATGTAGACCAGGCTGACTTCTTCTGCCTTCCATGTACTGGGATTAAAGGTATGTGCTAGTACACTTGGCTTGGGACCACATTTTTTTTTATTTTCTATTTTATTTTGTGTGTGTGGGTGTTTTTCCTGAATGTATGTCTATGCCATAGGTATGCTGTGGTGTCTGTGGATGCCAGAAAAAAAAAGCATCAGATCCCCTGAAACTGGACTTACAAACAGCTTGTGAGTCACCAAGTGGATGCTTAGACTTGAACCCATGTCCTCTGGAAAAACGGCCAGGGCTGTTCATTGTTGAGCCGTCCTTTGTGCTGGGATCAGATGGGTTTGCCACCAAACCCAACTCTGCTCTTTGCAAATTATTATAAATTTTTAAATGTATCTGGGGGGCTGTGTACATGTGGAGGTCAGAGATCCATCTTGAATGCGGTTCCTCAGGAGTCATCTACCTAATTTTCTGAGACAATGTCTCTCTCTCTGAGTCCTGGGGCTCAATGATTAGTTCAGGTTGGCTGGCTAGCAAACCCCAGGAATCTACTGACCCCCGCCCCTCCACTACTGGCTTTGTGTGTGGATGCCAGGGATCAAACCCAGGTCCTCATGCTTGCATGGCAAGTGCTTTACCCACCGAACCATCTCTTTGCTTTTGAATTACACACTCAAGTCAATAAAGTCCAAAGAGAGGACTCTGGCCACACGAAAGGAGCAGAAGGAGAATGGAGCTTGCCATCCACTACGGGGGAAGCTTGGTGAAGGCTGGATGTCCTTCCTTGCAGACCACTGTTGCAAAGACGGAATTGTAGCTTTCCTCCCGAATGCCTGCATTTCGTCTTTGTCCTACAGATGCCCTTCCATTTGAGCCTAACAGTCAACTTTCCTCCTCCAGCCAGACTCACAGCCCAGGCCTGGGGTCTTCCTGGTCTGTCCTCACTTTTACATTAGCCACAGGCCTTTGCACAAAAGAAGATACACGAGGTAAATGAACACAGGCATCTGTCTCCTGCCAGTTCCACTGGACCCAACTTAGTTTCTCTGGTCTTCTGGCAGTAAGATGAAATTCATATCCCTGACAGTTCATTTTGGTTCTCAAAATTAGAAACTAACTTAGGGACTGGGGAATGGGGTTCAGTTGGTAAAGTGCTTGCCTAGCATGCCTGAGGTTCTGGGTTCCATTTCCAGCATTACTTGAAGTCGGGCGTGGTGGCACACACCTGTAATGCTAGCATAACGGAGGAGAGAGCAGGAGGACCAAAAGTTCATGGTCACTTATAGAATGTTTGAGGCCAGCCTGGGTGGGATACCTGAGACTCTGCTTCAACAACAACAACAAAAAGAAAAAGAAAAAAAAAAGAAAGAAAAAGAAAAAAAGAAACAAAGAAGCCTAGTGTGCTGACACACACCTTTAATCCCAACACTCAGGAGGCAGAGACAAGTGGACCTCTGTGAGTTCAAGGCCAGTCTGTTTCAGACCAACAAAGGTTACATGATTAGACCTTGTCTCAATGCCAGCCCTCTCAAAAGAAGGGCAACTAAGTCAGATCTGAACTGCATCTGTATCCCGAGATGATTTTCTCCCACCCTGAACGGTCAAGCTGCTCAGTCGCATTTGGGCTCTACAAAGAGATGAGGTCATGTCCTCAGAGTCCCGCTGCTGATGGCATTCTTCTGTTCCAGCTAGATCTCTCAGGCCTCTGCCTGCTGAGGACTCAGATCACCAGGAACATCGATCCAGGTCTGGAGCTCTGGCCCGAGGCTGCGCATGAGAGCTGTGTGCTGGACTTTGGCACAGAACTGCGGGACAGCATGCCACGTGCATGCCAGGCGCATGTGGGGTGAATTTTGGTCGTTGGCTCTGGAAAAAGAGCATAGAGGCTCCTGGGTTCACCGGGAAAACCTTTCTGCTTTTCACCCCAGGGCCTGCACCGTCAGTCACACTTCACTCTGAGACCTAGGTGTGAAGATGTTGGCTTACATCATTATCCATGTTTTTTGTTTTTTGTTTTTGTTTTTGTTGAGCTTTCTTTCTTTTTCATTTCTTTTCTTTGTTTACTTGTTTTTTTGTTTTTTTTTTTAAAGATTTATTTATTTTGTATACAGTGTTCTGTCTGCATGTATACCTGCA